CTCTCGCCTGGGCGCGTGCCGTGACGTCACACGAACACGCCGGCCTCGCCGGGACGCGCCAGTGACGTCATACGCCTGCGAGGGCCCCGCCGTGACCGCGCGCCATCGCCGCGTAGCGGCCGGACCCCGCGAGGACAGCACGAGGCCGGGGCGTTCAGGAGAGGTCAGGGGGCTGCAGTTCCACCCGATTGCGGACGGAGGGCGCTGTGGCGCCGAGCAGGACGCGGAGGATGGAGAGGACCCTGCGCCCCCAGGACTCTTTCCTTCGGGCGGGGTCATCAGAAAAGGGCGCGAGGGCGAAAGAAAGGGGTTTGCAGGAGCCGCGGCCGCCACACGAGCGCCCTGCCGTGGCCGCAGGCGCCCCTCCCGCGCAGCACCCGCACCTCCCGCAGCCTCGGGGCTGCAGCCGGGCTGTCAGGGCCGGAGGAAGCCTGCGCGGTGCCCCAGAGGGCACTCACCCCCAGGCCGGACAGAGCGCGAGACAACTGTCCAGTCTGCAGAGTAAATGCCGCGGGCGAAGGCAGGAGTGACTGGATGCCTGTATGAAGGAGGGGACGTGCACATGCGTGTGCCAATCCCGACTGGACCCTGGTTCAAAGAAAAAGCTGTACAAGTCATTTTGGGGTCAATTGGGAAAGCTGGTATACAGACGAGACGTTGGATTACAGTGCAGAATAATTATTTTCTGAGGTGTGACAATGTAGTGTTTTTGTGTATGAAGAATGGACTCGGCAGACTTCTTCTGTAAAGGACCACATGTCAGGGAACCCCAAGCCCCGGCTGGTGGATCTGCTAGGCTCGGAGAAGGGAGGGCTATGATTTATTAGGACAAAGGGACACAAAGCAAAATCATTGCAGGAAAAAGCCGTGTAGAGTGAGTCCAGGGGACACCAGGAGGAAGCTTCAGAATCCTCTCCAGGTGGCGTCACACGGGACACACTTAACCCCCCAGCAAGGAGCTGTGACAGCACATGGGAAATGTCCACTAACGGAGCAAACTGGAGAGACACAGACTACATTACATCGGTGAGTACAGGACAGTTAACATTTGGCATTTATTACTAAACAGAGACGGCATGTGGGCAACAAGGTAACACTGAGAAGTTTTTGGTCGTCTGCTGGTACGAGTATGGTTATGCCCTCAAGGGGTTTGGGAAAGACATTTTCTCTGACTTTTCAAAGGTATCTCATCCTGGATGCATAGGAACAATGGACAGGGCTTGAGGCAATAGATTGTCCTTTACTAAGGAAGCTATAGGCCTGGGATGTGATTACCCACGACCTGCCCCAGCTAGAAATTTAGATCAGATCACCCTGTGAGGTTACTTTAGTCACTGAGCTTGTCAGGCCCACTATCCAGCCCCCAGAGCTTGTTGTCAGGACTGCTAGGTAGTCCTGATTTCATACAGACGTTCATTCAATTAGGAGTGACTTGTGGGGGTCTCTCCTTCCCCTCACCCCACCCACACCTGACCTCCCACACTTCCCTAAAGTTACAGACTAGGCTCTTTCCTGCTCTTACTGGGAAAAGAACAGGCTCTTCCCTGGTCTTACGGGAAAAGCTTGCGTCCTCCACACATCTGCTCCTGGGCCACTCCAGCTGGGGCTATGCACTGGGCCCCACAGAAGACAAGGCTGGGCCTGCTCCTGCAGTCAAGCACCCAGTGGGGGAAGAGGCCCAGCATGCCCTGAGGTGCAGCCCCGGGGGTGCAGGAACAGGGTGCAGCTGGAATGCCACTCCCAGTCCAACCTTAGGCCCTGGGAGTCATCGCATCACTGGACTCCTTTCCCCCGCCTCTTTTCAGCGATGTCAGCCCTTCACTATATCCCTGGGCCATATGCTGGTGACATCCATAGTGGCTGGCACAAGGTGGGTACTTGCCAGGTCCTGCAGATGAGGAGTGCAAGCCAATCCAATGCACTCGGGAATGAGGTCAGGCGAGGCCTGATCCTGGACACCAGGATGCAGTGGCAGCCCCTGCTCCCCAGCTATTCCTGGTGCCCACTGGGCAGAGATTTCTCTCCCTACTGCCCTCTGCGACTCTCAGGTCCAGCTCCCACTCATCTCTGGGTCCCTCCGACCTGGCATCCTGCTCTGCATGGGGTCAGGGCCGCTCAAGAGCCGGAAAACACCATCGTCCAGGGTCTGCTCCCTCCNGTGACCCGGCTGACTCACCGTGCAGGGCCGTCTGCACAGCTCACCACCCTCCGGGTCCCCTGCCCGGTACCTGCTGCTGCGTGCGCTCAGCCCCTCCGTCCCCCTGCATCGCCATGAGCGCCCCTACAATGTGCGGTGGGTGCTCCGCCTCCCGACCCGTCACTGCGGAGATCCAGGACATCGCGGACAAGGTACACGGGCAGGTTTTGGACAGCCACTGAAGGGCCTCGACTTCGGACAGCGCACAGGGGCGCTCAGAGGGGAGGGCCTGATGTGATTGTCCTCAGGCGGTTCAGTGGGAATCAGAGACCAGGAGACAGAGCAGGTGGGGTGCAGGGGAGCCGTAGTGAACCTGGGGAAGGGTATGCAGGGTCCTAACCTTCTACTCTTACTCTGGTACTACTTGTGTAAGTTTGAAATTAGTTCCAAATATACGGCTTTTAAAACCAAACAGAAACCAGGCTGGGATGCAGAGGCAGAGCCTGTTTCAGACCCTGGGCAGCGAGTGACCCGTGGGCGTCAGTTTCCCCCTCTGTAAAGGGGGCATCACTAGGGGGCCTTCACAGAAGGTTCTAGGGCAGGTGGGATGGTGGGGCACAGGAAGGCTCGGGTTCCGAGTGAGGAGACAAAAAGTCAAACCAACCTTTCTCCTGGGAGTCCCTGCTGCTTCCCTAACCCGACAGTGTGCGGCCACCGGTCTTTGCTCAGGTGGTTTACGCCATCTGACCACATAAAGGGCGATGAGTCAGTCCCATGAGACTCTGAAAAGGAGGAATTTGCAGGGACTGGGTGATGAGCCATCTAGGGCTGGGGTTCCTGGGGCCTCCCCCACACTGCTCTCTGAGCCCAGCTTTTCCTTGCTGTTCTGATTTCCAGGCCTAAGAAATTCCTCACTTGTTACGGGAACTTTGTGCATAAGCTCATTCAGGAGAGAGGAGTTGCTGTCTTGGGGCTACTTAATTGGGTGTTGGTCACTTGAAAGTGACAAGAGGGCAGTCACCATTGCTG